ATGGTTAGAACTGTGTAGCGGAAAAACCATATTTTAAATCAATTAATTTATAATATATATATATATATATATATATATATATATATATATATATATATATATATATATATATATATAGGTTTCTTGAATATATATAGATATATATACAAATATATGTATATATATATATATACATACATATATATATATATATATATATATATATATATATATATATATATATATATATATATTCAAGAAACACAGACACACTATTACATGAAACACAGGCATATATATATATATATATATATATATATATATATATATATATATATAGATATAGATAGATAGATAGATAGATAGATAACAGTGATGTTCACCCTGTATAAAGCCTGAGGATCACAGGAGGTAGAAGGTTGCACAATTTATACGGATATGTATGGAAGATAAAAGTTAACCCTAGAGTTGAACAGGTTAAGATTGTAGTGGTCGGAGAAACATCCTCTTGGGTGTCGGTTCCACGAAGCAGTTGTTCGTGGGTAGAAACTACTCGACTGGAATTTACGTCTCCCCAATGAAATACAATGGCTGCTCCGGTACAACGTGCGTAGAATGGCTGGACTTAGCCGTAAAATTTCGAACTGGTGGAACTAAGAAATGTATTTCGTGTGAACACTTTCCATGGAAATAGTGATAGAATGGCAAGAGGTTTGCAACATTTCATCTTTGAGAAAGGGGTTGTATGAAGGAAAATAATTCATCATCTACAAGGACGCGGAGATGCGTTTGAATTCTATCAACGCTAGAAAATCGAGACTGGGCAGTCCCTCCCCATATATGGTAGCAGTGCTCCATTTTTCTTCTGATCTGACTATTGTAAAGGAAGAGGATAGAAGAAGGAGACAGGTCCTTACTGGAGAGGTACAGGAAACCGGCCATTTTCCCAGCATCTTTAGCGATGTACGAGTTTCATTTGATGTCTGGTTGGGAATTCTGGGTCAGATCAGCGATTATGGAATGTCAGTAGTTCGGTTTTGAGGCATTGAATGTGAGCAGTCATTTTTTCCCCACCGAGTCGTTAAAGCTAGGTCAGAGAAGAGGTCAACTGTCAAACTCTGGTCATCTGGTATTTTTGGAGGTGCACACTTGTACCGTTGTATCATCAGCATAGATATTCACAAATTATTGCAGTATACACCAACGATGATCTCTTTAGCTTCGGAGGATTGGCCATTAACAACTACCTTCAAGAGGTAATTCCGTTATGAAGAAGTTTATAATTGAGAAAACTCTTCCAGTGATTCCATGGCTAGATAGCTTGTGCAATAACCCTTTATGCCACATCTTGTCAAAAGCCTTTGAAATATCTAACGCGATCTTTCTTGAGATTTATTTGTTATCTAGTGCCTCATTGTGAGTAATTGCATTTAGGATATCAGCATTGGACCGCACCGATGGAAACTCATACTGCTTGTCGCTTGTTCCACACCTTCTTGTTGATTACAGCTTCAAAATGTTTGCTAATGCCACTGAGGAGAGTGCGAGGGGTGATGAGCGCTCATACGCATTCTGGAAAAACGGACATACATTTGACACCCTCAAGGACATGGGGAGGATTTCTCCTTCAAGCAGCGATTAAATAATATCACTAGGATCGGGATTTACTTCGGGTTGATATTCTTAAGAACAACCACTGGGATTTTGTATGGACCGGTGACCTTCTTAGGTCAAGGCTTTTGATAAACCTTGAGATTTCCCGCGCTGTAATGGAAATATTACTGAAATAGTGCCGAGAGAAACGATCGATGTCATCTAATGTTGCGATTGAGGCAAAGGTCGAGGATGAAATGACCCCGGAGCCAATTATTATAATAGATACTGACGTTTTACCTCTCATCAGAATTAGCTGAGAACGCTTCCAGAACTCCCGTGATCCAAAATTGTTTGCTTTTAACCTTGGCCTGGACTGTTTCTGTATAGCTACACTTTACATTTTCTAGAACTCTTTTGCATTGATTGTGGGCAGTTCTGGATTGTTGTAAGCTAGGGAAGGTTACTGAATAGAATAATCACACGAAGGTTTGGCAATGAACGGTAATACTTAAGACAAGAACAACACATATAAGATTCGCCAGCGACACATAGAAGAATTAGTCAACTACTAGAAGTGAGTCAAGTGTATTCCACAATGAATCTTAAACTGCAGGATATCTACCAACCACCCCACACGGTCAGATGTGGCACAAGGCCAAATTTAATGTGGGGTATCCGAGCCTGCAGACTTGCCAGAAATACTCCATAGACCCCGTATCTGCTCTTCGATAGAGTCTCGTCTGGGAATCCTCTCTGCCCGGAGTCAGAGAGTTTGACCAGCACAGCTGGAGACGAATCTCCAACTGCAGACCAACATACAGTATTTACTACTGTATTTATGTGAATGGGGCAAAGCCATTATCGTCCGTAGGTATGCTACAACATGGATGCAGCAAGCATCCTACTCCACCACTCCCTGTAATAGATATTGTAGTAATGGTTACGGTGAGCTATGGTTTTCAGCACATTCTGGGGCGACCTAGGGCTGGGTTTTGCTGGAATTTTTTCTGGGCTATAAAATTCTCCATTCCATGCTGGATCCATTCTGGTACGAGGGCAG